AAAGGACTTCAGGCCCATTAGTCTCTTGCACAGTTTCTACAAAATCTTGGCTAAGGTTTTGGCTGAAAGAATGAAGTGTGTGTTAGGCAGTGTTATCTCTTGTAACCAAAGTGCTTTTGTCCCGGGTAGACAGATGGTTGACTCTGTTCTCATTGCTAATGAACTGTTGGAGTTCAGAAGAAGAGAGGGGACCCCAGGTGTTCTGTGTAAACTGGATATTGAAAAAGCTTATGATCATGTTAACTGGCACTGCTTGGATCTGGTTTTGAAGAAAATGATTTTTGGGCAGCTTTAGAGAAACTGGATCAAAGTTTGTGTTAAGACTCTTAAGTTCTCCATCTTAATTAACGGGCAAACAACGGGATTTTTTGGAAGTTTGAGAGGTTTGAGGCAAGGTGACCCTCTCTCTCCCCTACTCTTCATTTGTGTCATGGAAATTTTCTCTCTTTAGCAAGAAGGCTGCTGAGAATGGGCTTTGGGAGGGCTTTGCAATTGCTCCGGGGAAAGAAAAAGTCAATATTCTTCAATTTGCTTATGACACCTTATGCTTTGTTGATGCTTCCCCTTATCAACTGGAGGTGGTGCTTGGAATTTTGAGTTGGTTTGAGGTGGTGTCTGGCCTTTAAGGTTAATTTGAGTAAATCTCAGATTATCCCTGTAGGTCTTGTTACAAATCTAGAAGTTTGTACAGAGGTTATGGCTTGTCAAACTGCCCATCTTCCGGTCAAGTACTTGGGGCTCCCTCTGGGAGCTAAATATACTTCCTCTCAGATTTGGAATCCAGTGGTTGAAAGAATGGAGAAGAAATTGGCTTCCTGGAAAGCTAAATACCTTTCTTTTGGGGGGAGAGTGATTTTGATGAAGAGTACTCTTTCTAATTTACCTACTTACTACCTCTCCCTATTTCCTATTTCTTCCAAAGTGGCTAACAGAGTGGAGTAACTACAGAAAAATTTTCTCTGGAGAGGTTGGGAGGAGGAGAAGAAGGTGGATGTTGTAAACTGGGATCAAGTGTGTCTTCCTAAGGAAGTTGGAGGGTTGGGAATAAGAAAATTGAAGAAATTCAGTTCAGCCCTCCTGTATAAATGGCTTTGGAGATTTGCAAATGAAAGAAATGCTTGGTGGAGAAAGCTGATTGTGGACAAATATGGAGTGGACTGGGGTGATTGGAGATCCAATTCTCCTATTTCAAGAGGGATAAGTTCCATTTGGACAGGTATAA